GAAACGATGCAGATGGAAAATTTTCGTGCATCACTAAAGCAACACTTCTGCAGGTCACTTACAAAAAAAAGATTTACATCAGACTTGATCATAGCAGTTTAAAACAATGCTCGACAACAATAAATTATTATTTTGAAAACGAACATACTTAAACACGAAGATTAACAAACAACTACCATAAAAAACCATAAAGAAACATGCGCAAAACCTAAACTAAGGGTTCAGGTGTTGGCTCTTCCTGTCCTGGCCTGCTCTTGTTCGAATTCAAATCCGTCCACTGACCGACAGTGGGGTGAGGACGACTATATAAGCCGCATTTTCCAGCTTTTTGTTTTATCTCCTGATGACCCCCTGCTGGCGATCGTCTTTTCTTTAGAGTAAATTTTCTTTTTCCAAAGTCAATAAAAACATTTCAAAGTTGTGCTATTTATGACCCAACAGGGCTAATCATGTTTCTGGTAAGAACAAGTGACGTTTCAAAGTCATGAAATTTGCGATGAAGCACAAGTCGAAGGTTGGGGTTTATTGAAAAGATCGATATTCCAAAAACTCATCAGTTTGTATCAGCAGCATGCATAGCACTGCTTGGTTGTTATCAGTACAGCTCTGGCAGATTTTCGTTGATTATGAAGGAAGAAAAATGACTTTGAAGAAAAGCGTTTGTCCGCGGGGGATCATCAAGTGATCATACAAAAAGCTGGAAAATGCAGCTTGTACAGCTCTTTGCTCCCGTTCAATATGTTCATAGTGAAGGTTGGTGGGAGTACCTACGAACAGATGGACAGCTTGAAATTTAGATATTAGCTTCAGGATACGAAGCTTCTTTTAGCTGCGATCCCCTCCCCGAAAGGGATGTTAATGCATGCAGCCTTAAGTATTGGATGGATAGAGCATAGCTCGTCATAATTTTTGTTTGGATTTTTTTTTATTGAAACCATCGAATTTTAGCAGGCTTTCTCAGACACATATGCATCAAACGCCGATAAATTTTCGGATTTCAAAACTTACAAGGGTAGATTATGGTTGGATACTATTTCTACAAAGCAAATGAGCATACAAAATTAGCAACTTCCGAGAATTACGGCACAGCCTGGGGCGCCTTGAAAACCTGAAACATGATGACTTCATCCCGGAAAACTTTATGGATCGGTGGTAGATGGTGGAAAGATGAGGAAAAGCTGCTTTGAATGACACCCAGCCTGTGCAGTTAGTCATTAGGTTTACATCGAAACTAAAGTGCAGGCCTTGTAGAGCGAAATTGACTTTTTCGGATAGTACAGGTACTTAGCCGTAAACCACCGCCTCAAGAGAACGACGATGAAAATTAAACGCTACGAACTTTTGGAACGACCTAAAAATTCTTTGACTTCATCGTGTGACCGTGGCCTAAGGGAATGCAAGCTGGAAAGGATGTAGGGAGGGAAGGGGAGGGGAGGGGGGAGGAGGGGGGATTGAACTACGTTGGGTTGATGTCTCTGAGAGAAGATGATGGGAGGAGATGACGCGCTGAAGCAGAAAAGAAAGCTATTAGGTTGGTGCAAAAGTAATGCGCGGTTTTTTAGCCCTTGTTTCAAGATAGCTTCTCTCCATCAAAGTTTCTCCTATGATACTTAGCATATTGTCAAAAAGCTTCTTTCATGCTCTATTCAATGGTGGTTAAGAGAAGCTTCTAGCCTCATTCATTAAAAATTTATAGAGCTTCATACAACCGCACTCAAAACCAGAATTTCACTGCACTTACTTTTTCGGCCAGAATTCAAGCGCGAGTAAAGGCATTCTTTTGAAAATTTAAATACTGTATTTTTTATTTTTTATTTTTATTTGTAAATTTTCTACGTTACGCACGCTTTGCTGTTTCTCTAGAAATTACTTAGACTGAGTTTTCGGCGCATCAACATGAGTGATGGTTTTAGCCATTCTGTGGCTTATAGATTTTCTTTGAAGAGGGTAATCGCGAAGGTTTTGCTCATTTCTGTAAGCGTAAGGATGGACCTCTTGTTGACAGTTTTTGCAGAAGCGTGGAAGCTGTTCAGTACACAGAAAATCAGAAATCTCCATATTTTGGGATTTTGAGGGCTATAGAAAATGTCGAAAAAAACGGAAAATTTTGAATATTATTTTCTTCCTCTTCGCAAATACTCTTTATTTGAGCCCTTTTGTACTTTTTTTGTACTACTGGCTTGCGGCTACAAGACAGTCAACTTATCATTTATACCGACAAATCTTGAAGGAAGTTATGATCAGTTAAAAACGAGGTTTCTGAAAAAGATTTTTTCTGCTTATCAATCCATATTTTCCCACCGATTTGCGAAATTAACCTAGGGCAATGTGCGCTGTATAGAGAAAGGTTTGATGCCTCTGATGAACTTTGCCGCACTGAAAAATATGGATTTTTTAGAAAGTTATAGCACGTCAAGGTGAGAACTCGCAAAACGGGCATTACTTTTGCACCAACCTAATAACCGAAACATATATTTTGGTGTGCATTTTTGGGACAAGCGTTAAGAATATTCGTTTGAATGTTCTTTAATTACTCAATTACGCATATTCTCAAGTTTCATAATCATCAGCCCGATCGCACTCGATTTAAGCAGAATTGAAGCTGAGCGGGAAGCTTCCCGTTTCCTCTTCTTTGCAGTATGTGAAAATGAAGGTAAGATGAACCCCGTGCCTGAATCTGTTGAGATCTGGCTGAGTCATGAAATGGTTGCATTTAGTGGAGGCAAGGCTGGACCGTGAAACAGTACAAATAAGCGTCATATATTGTACACGACGATGTACAATGTAACCAACGTGTAAGTTTTCTAAAAGCATTTACGATGTACAATCAAAGCCTCACATTTATCGTACTCGGATTTTGTGACACTTGTTATTGACAATGCCAGTGTAAGGAACCGCCAACCCATAATCACTTGCGCTCGGGTGGTGCATGATCTTCACTCTAACGTGAAAAAAATAAAAATAGTTAAACAGTGAGGTTGCGACATTCATCGGCTTAGGAGCTAATGAAGTGACTTTTCTTTACTCAGTTGTTCCTGGGAACATGTGGTGATATTAATTGTACGATGTTCATATAAAGATCTTTTCGTATGTCGATATCGCATTTCATTACCGAGTTGTAGCAATTCTCATACAGTCCATTGGGTTCTTTACTCGGTGTAACATTCCAATACATGCACAGGCTGAGTGTCTGCTGCATTGTCCGCGCGGGACCGTCCCACTTTCGGCGACATATAGTCCTCTACGAGCGAATATCCTCGTCATGTGAGAATCTTTACCAGACAATCGGTTGAGTTTCCTCCAGCAAGGTCAAGCAGAACACTGCATGAGGCAAAGAGTAACACTGAAAAGACTTCACTCAGTACCACTCTGCGATGAAACTCACCTCGTAAGTGGTGGGTACATTGTGAGTGACACCATAACTCAATCATCATTCCCGTTTTTCGAGGAGATGCATGCGTTGTCTGAACGGCTTGTATAGCCACATAAATGGCAAAGACTGAAAGGATTCGAACATGATTTGGACCATTCGTCTGCGATTGGAGTGGAGATTCACCGGTGGTTTGTGAAGGGCACAGCATGTGAGTTGGTAGCCATACGCAATTCATTGCTGAAGATACGCTGCCAGAATTTATTCATGTCGTCCTTTTGTCACAAAACGATGCTTTATAGGATGGTAGATGATGGATGGTAGATGCAAGCGACTCCAAGTTACATCCAAGGCTTTCGCAATGACTCACTTCTTAAACTAATAGAGAAAGAGAGAGAGATTTAGTAGATTGACCCATGCAGCTGTAGGAGCTGTTTTGTCTCCCGATCACTATTTTATTACCCAATTTATCGCGCAGTAAGCTCAGTAACTTGCAGCTCCAAAAAATTCGATGAGATTAGCGGATGCTTTTATCCAGCTTTTGTGGAAGTCATTGGTGGCGACACATTCAGAACGTTCCGCCAAAAAACAGGTGCTTTTGGCACTTCTTTAGCCGCACTTGAAGGCAGGCACCGCTTACCCAGACTCTCGACTTTGTTTTTGTCACTTTTTGGAGCCTTTTCATGCCCCTGACTAGGATTATGACCCTGTCCCAGAGATCTTCTGAGAGAGTTTTTTTGGAACGGGGAACTTATTTGTACCTGAGGCGCGGTCCGGATCTCACTTAAGTGTTTGATTATAATCTTGTTTTTTATAATCACTGGGAAAGCTCTCGCGGTATAAGTCCCCTAACTCTGGAATTAGTTATGGTGGTGAGAAGCTCATATATGGAGTCAGTTTTGGTTAGTAACAATGTTTTTGCGGGCATTCTGGACAATGTATGCTCCACTGGCTCAACTTTTTTTGAAAGTCCTATTTTTTACAGAAACAAAAAGACTTTTATAAGGTTTTCTGCAAAAATCTAAGTTGAAGCCTGCCCTATGGTACTGTACCTAAGTTCAGCAAAGCCATTTGCAAAGGCGTTGATGGCAATCCAATGTTCGATACTGTTTGATTTATGCAACACGGAATAAAATAAATTACAATACAGTACATTACAAGAAACTTCGTCGCATCAGTATGAACGCAGACTTGCAAGGAAACGATACTCGGTGTCTGTGGCTTTTGAGATGAAACGTACCATCACACTCGTTTTGGAGCGCTGATTCCAAATCTGACTTCCGTTTCTGCTAATCGCCTCTCTAAAAGAAGTTATAGAGGATTTTTGCATCATGGTCGCCCAAGAGAAATACGGTCGAGGATGCTTAATTTCGAAAAGAAGCTTGATTGAGGCAATGCAAAACCGAGAAACACAAGGAGCTCGAGTCGAAACCTACATTAACAGTAAGGCTATCGCACTAGCCACTACGCCGAACGTAGCGCGGTTTTGGCATTTGACCATATTTCTCTTGGCGCAAAAATCCTTCATAATTTTTCTTCGGAAAAACGATTACAAAAACGAAAGTCAGATTAGGAATCAGCGCTCCAAGACGAGTGTAATGGTATACATTTCATTTTAGAAGGCCACGGACACCGAGTATCGTTACCCTTGTTAGTGGCATCATCAACTCTGATTATTTACAAAAAATATATGAGTATCAGTAACTATTTATATAGGTGATTTTAGAGACGCCGCACTCAAGCACGTTTTTGAGAATGATGGATAGAATAGAGGACAATTGAAGTGCAGCAGCACTGGAGACCTAGCGAATATCTCCTTCAACAAACCCATGACAGAAAAAACTGACAGATGTCATGCAACTGAGACCTGGATTTGAAAAAATTGTTCCTTTGAATGTTAGATATCTACTCCATGCACCTTTACCCCATATAAATTGAATAAATAATTATCAACAATGTCAACCACAAACATGAGAAGAAAAGTGCTAAACTATCTATCTGCCATTGATCAGTTGTGGTGCACGTTGACTGACCTCGCAAAGACTGCCCTGAAAGAACCTTTTATAAAACATGGGAAGCAAATTCTTTTTTTAATGTCTCACATTGAATAATCGAGCTTGCACCCCTGCGTGTCTTACCGCCAATGCAAGCAAACATGCTTGGACGCCTCCAGCACATCCTGTTACTGTTGGTAAACTGTCGTCGTACCCAACTTTTTCCAGAGCTGAGAGGGACTTTCAATGGGAAGGATGGAGAAAAATACAAAACTAATCTTTACCCTCTTCAATTGATTCTGCAGATTTTAATCCATCATCGTCGGCAATTTCGTCTAATGGCATATTCTTAGCGCCTCGTAGGTGAAATAAAGTACCTCCTAAAACAAAAAATGTTCAATTGTAATTCACATTTACCAGGGAATTTCAATCAGTTTCAAGCATTATGTCGTTCCTATCAAGAATTCGCATTTTATGACCAAACCTCATCCATGAGAACGAAGATTTGTAGACATCTTGGTGTATTCAAAGCAGTTTTTAATCCTCTTCTCAAAGTTTATGCCTTGGATAGAACAAACCCGGTGATACGAATTTTTTTTATAATCTTTTATGAGCTCTCAGCAATTCGCGAAAGCATTCGTTCTAGAAATACTGACGTTCTGTGATTGTTTAGTGGGTAGCTGCACTTTAATGTTATTTTGCAACATTCGCAAGCTTTATTCGCCGTCAAAAAATTGGTGAGGTATCGGCTTACACCATAGGCAGACTTATTATTAGTACTGACAAGGGAAGGATACTTGATCGCAGTGACGATTGGGTAGGCGGTGTATACCACGTATACCGTCCCCAGACGGTGATCTCTAAACCGCATTCCATATCTGCTATGACGTCATTCTGAAGGAGTTATAAAGGATTCTTGTGCAGTAAACAGTGGCTTGGACTGCGGAGCTGGACGTCGTGGGTTTCATTCCTCTGGGATACCACCCGCTTTGCATTTTTATAAATTTTAGTAGGGCAAATTGCAAAACCTGTCGACATCAAAAAAAGACAATATGAAACAATATATTTACATTTATTGGCACTGAACCACCCTCTAACCTAAAACACTCGTTTTTAGCCGTTTTCATTAGATACTTTACTCAAATATACATTGAAAAATTCCGAATTCGTGCTTAACATAGAGAGGAGCAGGTAATCTGTCAAAAATGGCGTTTTTATCGATTTTTTGATGAAATAATAGTTAATGAGAAAGGCTAAAAATGAGTGTTTTTAGGTTAGACGGTGGTTCAGTGCCAATAAATGTAAATATATTGCTTCATATTGTGAAAATCAACTTTTTGTGATGCCGACAGGTTTTGCAACTTGCATACTAAAATTTACAAAAATGCAAAACGGGTGGTATCCTAGAGGAATCGAACCCACGACGTCCAGCTCCGCAGTCCAAGCCACTCCATGCATCAAAAATCCTTTGTAACTCCTCCAGAATGACGTCATAGCAGATATGGAAGGCGGTTTAGAGATCACCGTCTGGGGACGGTATACGCGGTATACACCGCTTACCCAATCGTCACTGCGATCAAGTATCCTTCCCTTGTGAGAACCAAGGCTTTTGGAAGGAGAAAGCTTTATAAATTTGAAAATGGTTAGCAGAAGCTTGAAAAGGTCACGTATACTACTAGATTTGCTTTGTCTGCGCGTTAGTTACGTCATGTGATCTCTGCTAAAAGACAAAATGTTTAAAATAATTGGATTCAGGAGCTCTAGCGCTTTTGTCATAAACTCCAACATTTTTTAATGGCAGGGAAATTTCAGCTTGAAAACATGATCGTAAAAAGCAGCTAAAGGTTCGTCGAGTAAGGCTGATCGCCTACAATTCTTTATCCTGATGTATGTGGTGTTCAAGCAAGCTGATAAAACTGATAACAATCGAAGGTGATATTTTAGGATGAGCCGATAAAATTGTATATCAACTGTTCTGTTTATAAGAAAGAGTAACATTAGCAGATTCGCTAATCGCGACTATATATCCATTTTCAATATTGATCGGTTTGAGAGTGAAGATGTCCAACCTGAAAATTGCGCTGCTGGTCGAGCATCCAAGTAGTTGATCTGCAAAATAATATTTGACTTCTACATTTTCACTTTTGACATTAACTCCAGAAGTTACAAACGCGGAAATCACCAACCTCGAGTAAAAAACATTCACCATAAAGTTCAGAATGCATACAGTTCTGCCAAAAACGTATCATTATGCTTTTCACATAGAAACTACGCAGTTATTCCTTTGTGACGTTGGTTGTAAGTAAAATAGACTTTTGCTTACTTTTTAGGCTAAAGTCCATGGTTTGCGGACATACATTCGATAGTTTAAAGATGTGGCATCAAATGTGAAGGTTGCTCAAATGTCCGCCTCATAAACCGTGAAGGTTGCTTATAGGGAAACCAAAGATGAGGAAGATGCAAAACAAATAACAAAAGCAAGAGAGACTCTTGAAAACCTTAAGAACGCTGCAACAGTTTTTTTTTTGGTCCAAAACCAGGCAATTCACAACATGGGTAAAACGGGCAAGGTGGTGATTATCAAAAAGAAGATAAACGAGAAAAAAATTAAAAGCGCAAAATTTTGTTTTCACTAAATCGAAATGCATGTCAAAGACAAATGGGTTTTTGTTGCGTCCTCTAGATTTTTACCACCCTCCTAATTTCTGTTTCTGGTGACATTGTTAGCTTTGTTGTGCTCATGATTTTGAGCAAAATGGCCTCAAGCGTGTAAGAAATGATTGCATATTAACTCCAATAGACCTATGAACAATTACGAACAGAAGCAAGATGTATTAAGTGCATGAAGAAATTGCTTGGGAACCGAAGAAAATCAAGAGTCATGATCATCACTGCCGGCGCGCTGAGCGGTCGGATTTCCTTTAGCGGTCAGCGCCCCTCGTTCCTCAGTAGTTTTTTTTTCTGATTTTGTCGTGTTTCTTCTTCATTTTTCGCTTTCACTCCTTCCTCTCTTCTCACTGTTGTTTCTGGCACCACCCTCTCATATTCCGCCATTTTTGTTTTTGTTTAATTTTATCTTCTTCCTACTTGTGGTGGTTGCCAATCGATTTTGTGACTCTTTCGCGCGTGGGGTAGGTCGATTATCTATCTAATCATATATCCTGCATATCATTCTTCTCAATCCTTCCTCTCCTTTTTATCCTCTGTGGTGTTTCTCTTATTTGCTTGTTGGTGATTTTATAGCACACGTTGCTGCTCACTGCATTTCTGCTCACTTTCTTGTGATCGTTTGATTTTTCAATTTTTTTGTTGAATCAGTCATGACCAGAAGTACTCGTACCTCTAAAAAGACTTCGTCTACTAGTCCATCTTCATCTTCCCAAAGGGATTATGCCGATGCTAGTAGTCAAACGGTCATTTCGCGAAATTCCGGAAATGTCGCGAAATTCCGAAAATTTCGCGGTCCTTCGCGGAATTCCGGGATTTCCGCGACATTCACGGAAATTTTGCACGTTCTGAGAGCGGTATTGTAGTGATCCATTGATTGACAAGTTGCTTGCCCTCCTTTGTGAAAAAGTGTCGGGGGTGACCACTATTGATCCGAGCGCCGAGAAAAGGGCTCGGAGTGTGGTCTTCAGCGGGGTCAGCGAGGCTGAGGGGGATGTCGGCTACCAGGAGAGGCAACATGATCTTGAGCAAAAGGTGTGCAATATCCTGGAGGTGCTCAGGGTCGAATGCCGTCCGGTAGAGATCTATCGTATGGGCAGCTTCAACTCCGCTAGGCCAAGGCTGGTCAAGGTTGTGCTGCCATCGAGGTCCCACTGGCGCACAGCCTTGACCAATTCCAGGCTGTTGCGTCGCTCTGCTTTTCCTAACGTGTACGTTAGGAAAAGTATGACTCCAGAGGAGCGTAAGAGGGATTACGAGCTCAGAATCGAAGCTCGTCAACGCAACAGGGGTAAATTGAAAAGAGAGTGGGTAGTCTACCGTGATGAAGTGGTACACATCTCCGCGCTTCCTCACGCTTTTCAGGGAAACGCTTAGGTGTGCATGGTCTCCCTCTATCTAAAATATGCCTAATTAATGCTCGTAGTCTCTGCAACAAAATACATCTCTTGCAAAGCTTCATCTGCCATCACAAGCCCGATTTAATTTTTATCAATGAAACCTGGCTCAATTCTCATATTTTGGATTCTGAAATTGTTGGAGGTTTACCATACTTGATCTACCGAGCTGATCGACGTAGACGCAAAGGTGGTGGAGTTTGTTGCATTATTAAAAGCCATTTTCTCGCCACATGTGTGGATTTGAACGTTGAAATCAAAGCTGATTTACTCGGAATCAAAGTTTTTGACATTGACCGAGGGTGCCAAATGCAGTTTATCACGGTTTACCGCCCACCTAATTCGAATAGTAATGATGATGACGAATTACTGGAGATTCTTAGCAATTTCGCTTCTGAGAACATTCCAACTATCATACTCGGAGATTTCAATTTACAAAGTGATTGGATGGCCAAGAAATCCCTCAATGCTGCCTCTTGCCCTTTTCTGGAGTTTGTAAACAACTGTGGACTAAAGCAATATGTGACCTCACCGACCCATGATAGCAATACTCTCGACATTGTGCTCTCGGCCTTTCCACTCATCTCGCGTGTGGGCACACTTCAGCCACTTGGGTCCTCGGATCATAGGATTGTCACCTTCGAGATAGAATTTTCGAATTCCTCTGCTTCCACATTACCCTTGCCTGATTTTCTCAGTGTTGACTATTCCTCTCTTAATTCTTACTTCTTTAGTGTTGATTGGCTCTCCTTATTCAATAATTATACCTCATGTTCTGAAGTCTACAAAAGATTTTGCCTAACAGTTTATGAAGCCTTTAGCAAATTTGTTCCGATTAGGGTCAAAGTTTCTGGTATTCATAAGATCGACCTGCCACCACACATTCGTGCCTTAACATCTCAAAAACAACGTCTTTTTGATACTCTGCCCAATCCTTTGAGCTGCTCGTTGTATAAAAAAGTTTGTGCTGATATAGACTATCACATAAAAAAATATTTGTCATATCGTGAACGAATGCTTGCTAGAAGGAAGTCGTCTAAATATCTTTTTTCGTATTTGAAGAATAAAATGAAGCCCTCCCAACATTTCTCTACTTTAACAAATTCTTCTGGTACCTCTTATGTTAGCGATAAAGATAAGGCAGATGCTCTTGGTGCCTATTTTGCCAGCGTTTACTCTCCTGTCGCTATTAATGACAGTGATAGTGATGCTGACAGAATAAGCGCTGATGCAGTGCTGCCTCGCCATTTTTGCAATAATGTTCATTTTCATCCCGCAAATGTCTATCAGTTCCTTATCAAACTAAAACCTTCCATAACTGAAACATTTGATGGCATCCCTCAGATAGTATACCTAAAATGCGCTTCGTCGCTTGCGGCTCCGCTTGCACATATATTCAACATTTCGATGTTGTGGGGGGAGGTCCCTGACTTGTGGAAAGAAGCTTTGGTTACAGCAATTCCAAAAACTGACGGAGCATGTCGAATTGATAAGTTCCGTCCAATTAGCTTGCTTCCCACTCCTGTTAAGATCATGGAAAGAATCATACGTGAAAAACTTTTGGAATGGCTAAAGGTTTCGGATTTGATCCCCGATGAACAACATGGCTTTTTGAATGGAGCTTCCACCACAACAAATCTGGTTGATAGTGTGTTCGAGTGGAGCTTAGCAATCAACGAGGGCAAATCGGTTGACATTGTTTATGTTGATCTCTCGAAAGCGTTTGATAAGGTCTGTCATGCTAAATTACTAACTAAAATGAACAAATTAGGGATTAAAGGAAATCTTCTTTCGTGGTTGACCTCTTATTTGCATGATCGGTATATGACTGTGAGAGTTGGTCATCGTTACTCCAAGAAGTACTTCTGCACTAGTGGTGTTCCACAGGGTGGTGTCTTAGCCCCCTTGCTTTTCCTGATTTACACCTTTGACCTACCTTCTACTTTGAAGACTTCCGCTAGCGTACACATCCGAATGTATGCTGATGACATAAAGATCTTTGCAGTCTATGATCCGGAAGTAGCTCCAGAGATTCAAATGGACTTGCAAAGGTCTCTTGATAATTTGACCAATTGGTGTGAGGTCTGGGAATTAGCGTTAAATTTTGACAAATGCTCAGTGCTTCATCTTGGAGGTGGAAATACTACCTCGTATCACATCAAAGGCTCTATATTGAAGAGTTGTGATACTGTTAGAGATTTGGGTGTCGTGATTGATACAATTCTTAACTTCACTGAGCATATCAATACGTTAGTCAAAAAAGCTTATTCTTCACTCTTTCTGCTTTTCCGCAATACTAATGCTAGTTCTCCGAAGATACTTATACCGCTTTATAAAGCATTAGTTCTTCCTCATTTAGAATACTGTTCTCAGGTCTGGTCCCCCTTTCGTAAAAAGGATATTCGCAGAATTGAAAAGGTTCAACAGCTTTTTACACGACTGTTGTATAGACGTTTATCGCCCGGAACCACCCCTCCCGATTACCAGACCCGGCTTGAGAGGTTTCATATGAAATCCTTAACAAACCGTCGTGCCTTCTTGGATCTTGTATTCTGTTTTCAAGTTCTGAGAAGAGAGAACAAGCTAAAAGCCAGTAAATACTGGATTTTTGTTCCTACAAGCGAAAGGTCAGGCTCTTTTAACTTGCAATATCCAAGAATCCGGCGCAAGAGATACTTGCTCATGTTCAACAACGTGTTCTACAGGTCGGCTAGGTGGCTTTCGCACCTCCCGGTTGAGACCACTAGTGCAGAGAGTAGTCATATTTTCAGGAGTAGACTGAGAAGGCTTGACTTGTCAAGTATCGCCAACACTGATTAGTGTTGCATGACAGGGCGAGCCTTCTGCATTAGACCTTTTGGGCTTCTATTGGGTGCTTTGGACGTGCTATGATGGCGGATGGAATCGCTTTTGGCTTTGTTTTCTATCACCTTTCTTCTCCATTTTACCTCTAAAACCTGTCTTTTCAGGTGCTCGATGATCTTGCATTGACTTGCGGGTTCAGTTGTGGCTGTAAATTATTTTTTTGACGCCTCTTGTGTATCTCCTCACGTTGCGTCAAACTTTTATTTTTGGTGTACTCGTTTTGTTCTAGTTACTAACACAGTTTCATCAGCATCTCAGTCTGAGTCTTTTTCGTTCAGCTATCTATTAGTCAATCGTACAGCATGCTATTTCAACAAATGAATTCAATGAGAATCGTTTCACCTTTGGGGTCATTGGGCCTCCCCAGCATTCCGGCTAGGTTGGGTTATGGTTATTATACCTGAGCCAGTAGACCTGCCTTATAAGCCGCCGGATTGCTTTTAAGAGTAACTAAAGATCGTTCCGCTGGCAACGAGGGGGCATGCGTCCCATCTCCATGGATTCAAAGTTTTGGAGTTATAAATCTCATGCCTACATCTGCATACTTATCTATTAGCCTACCAACATATTCAGTGCAAGCTGTTTTATCTTCTCACATTAGTCTGATTAGGATCAGACTCGGACTGACATGATGATGTATGCATTTGTTTACATGTCTTGTTCGTTTCCGCTGTATTACTAACTTCCTGATGTGTCTTTTTTTTATGGAACGCCTTGAGCGTACAAATGAAATGAAATGAAGAGATTTTAAAAACAATGCTTTTCCCAGATTTCTTTTTTAATTTGAAAAATGGGATTTTGAACGTTGGCAGCTTGAAAGTAGAAATTAAGAGCTTCAATATGATAAACAGTTTGCTAAATTTAAGTTCAGGACAACGAAAGAAAGGGTGCCAGAGCCAAATCGCCTGCCCACGCTTGAGATAGCGAAGTAGCACGCAGCGCGCAGAGACACAGACGAGCAAAGGAGGAAGACCAGAAACGACGGGGCATCTGGCTCTGGTCGTAAATCTCTCCGTGGTTTCAACGAGACCCTGCAACACATCATTTGATCGTCATGACATGATTAGGAGCAATGGACAACGTCGAAAGCCTGAAAACCCTTCCTAAGACAATAAACCAGCAATTTAGTGCACGGCTCTCCGCGCAAGAGTTGAGCGCAGTTTCTCATTTTTATTAAGTTCCAGTAGCTTTCCTGAGTTTATGAAACTCATCGTAGATAAGAGAGGTCAGCTGAGAGATGTTGTCCCGAATTTCGTAAGAATTCATACAAAAATCTCATTTTTAGCACAAAGAAAACTTTAAAAACGCAATTTCTTGGTTTTGGGGGTTACTTCTGAGGTACTGCTTACTGGTCTTGCTTCATTCACCTCTATCCGTACAGTTACGATTTTAATATCTGTGGCTTCGCCCCGAATGAACTCTGTTTTTTGGTGAAGATTGTATTCTTTTATCTCGAGCAAGATGAAGATTACTATAGTACCTGGCTCTGTGTACTGAAGATATGTTTGCAGACTTACATGCTGAACAGATCCACTACTTTGCAAAAAGTTTAATCACAGACCCTGGCGGACCATAAGTTGCGCGCATGTACCCATTTAATGCACAGTATTTTCAACGTATCGAGTCGGCTTGTGCTTTTTTACACTTTACCTGGCAGGTTGCTATGGCCAAAATTCTAGCTCAGGACCGAGCCGCAATTCACTCCACGAATCTCGCGACAGAGAGACAAACAGACGTAAACAACCTTTAGTCTTCATTATTGAATCATAGATCATCATATCAACATACCTTCGCTAAGTCTTCAAGAAGAGACTTTTCTCCTGGTCTTTTTTCGTACAGCTCCTCGAAAGTAATGATTTGCTCACTGTCGATTGGCTTAGCGGACCAGTTGCCATGCTGTAATGCGCGATATCTTGATATGAGAAAAGCCCAAGCTTCGTCGTTTAACGAGTACTTCATGTCACCGTTAGCCACAACTTTTTAAATTGGCAGTGATCTGAATCAGCATAAATCTGAATCTGAATTTCGAATGATTGCTTAATGAGGGTGTTCATCATTTTTTCCTGCAAATGTTCCATGGAAGAGACACATAATTGAGTTTAGAATGACTCCTACTTTGTTTGCTAGCGAGTATTGCTGCCGCTATTGATCCCATCAGTGTGCAACTAATTTGATTTTCTTGAAGATCTCGTTATTGTTCTCGTTATCGAAGCCAATGTTCAATAATTACATGCGAGATACATTGCGGATCTACCATTTGCAAGCATCCTCAGGCAGTTAATTACCACGCAGGCTTGTTTCTCCTGTCATCAAATGATTTCGCAGTATTTACAACAAATTTTTTGAGCAAGCTAAATTTTTCAATCTTACATTGAATAGAGAAGGAGTAAAAAAAATCTATAAAATCCCTTATCCGCTCTCTCGTAGTTCCGCCGCAGATTGATGTTTCACAGGTGGGATATATTACATAGTCACTGGACAAAAAACCCAGTTATGTTGCGTGATGTCGCAATTGTTCTCCCCTAGCTTCGTGGTTAAACAATGTCTTACGCCAGTTGCGATTTCTTTTTTCAGCGGAATGTGTAGTTACATGCATAATGACCGCAATTATCGGGGTTTTTTTCTCATGTACGTCAGTAACTAATGGACTATTTCTGAAATGGACAGTGGTGACAATGGTAATTTCAATGGAAGAAAGGCACAAAATATCTTCACAATAAAATTTTGTGATATTTGACGTCACTGTTGCCAAATTAGGGTTTCGATGTTTAATCTGCTTATGTATAATGAATTGTTCAACTTCCAACGGGTTCTTACAAGGAAAGGCACCTAACTTGGGTCGGCTTCTTCAAACGATGCATATATTCAGAATCAGCTTGAAACGCCGAATTCCAATGTAGTCCACAGCTGCGAATCATTCTTCTACACAGAGTTATGGTCTTTTTTCTGTGCAGAGTTTGCATGCTTGCTTACTTACAGAGTACGGCTTCGGATGGTAGAGCACTTTCCAATGCCGCTATCTGTAAAAAAATGACATGACCTGATGTTATTTCAATATCCCAGCACCTCTTGAGCAAATATGTACCTATAGGCTGCCTTCCCTTCATGACTTATAATAAAGCGCTAAACGTCTGTCTTTTTGTGCATGTGTGTGTTTGTCTGTCTGTCACGAAATTCATAGAGGCAGCTGCAGCAAAGCTATCGAGCTACAATTTTGCATAGCATACCGTACCGACATGTAGGCCCACCATGCACAAGGACGAGCCGGTTCGATAAGCGGGTCCTTCGAAAATTGCGCCTCAAACGGGTTCACCTCGCTTTTGGCAAGCAAAACTAGGTCACCAATGCAACTTTTTGCAAAGTCCTGATTTGCCTGACAAGCAAATCTGCGCTCCAAGAATTCTAGCTCAAAAAGTGCTCAAAAAGTTTGCTTTTCCGCGAAAACGGCGCCAAAAAGTTGTGATCGTGTAGAGAGTCGATTTGACAAGGTTTTACCTAAATATCTAAAAAGATTTTTGCATGGAAATGTAGCCCAAAATGACTTTTATCTTTATAACAATTACCAAGCCAAAATAAATTCAATAATCTGATCGAATTTATATTTATTCCTTAGAAAAAAGTTTTCTTTCTCAAAATTACCGATCTTACATGGAGATGCTTCAAGAATGAACAGTTGTTTACAATTCATTTATGATGTACAGCCTCGCGCGGTGAGTTTCAAAGTCATCATTTTGGGAGCATGAATAAGGCATACGGATAACAGAGCCAGTGCGAACCCCCGCGAAGCGGAGGTGACGCACTGGTTTTCAATAGTGCGTCAATGACGCGTATTCAAAGGCTCATAACTCTCGGAATAATGCCCCGCACCCATGGACAACAGATTTGGACAGTTTTCAAACTGATTCAGTATATATGTGTTGTTTTTCAAAAGTCGACCTGGGTTAAAGGCAGCGGCTCGGCAGATTCTCGACCTAAAGTTTTTTTTTGCGTACCAGGAATAATTCGAGGCGCTGATTCCGAAAATCCACTTTTAAGAGCGCTAAAATGGCAAACACCATCATTTCCTAAGGCCTCCCATTCTATTTCGAGTGGAGCACGCCCCGCCATAGTTTGAGAGGCAGAATCGCGGGACCCTCGCACTTATAAAATTGCGGCATGCCTTCTCTGACGGGTCAGACAGAATCACAAGTTCATCCCCGCGCATTGGAATGGCTTGCGCGTAACGGGTTTAGGGCCAGATTTCTAGGCAAGGACAGCATGCTGTGCGCTCGGATCTGCTCTGTTCTCATGTTTCGGGTGCAAGAAACCTTGCAACCTTCCATTTCAGATCTTCGGGACGTTCGGTTCTGGCGAGCTGCTGCTTTTAAGTGCGTTTTTTGTTAGAATTAGAAGCTGTGAACAAGAATGAAGAATTTGCTTCAGCATTTGGGATCCGAAATGGAAGTATTGAAAATGTAATGTTAAATTTTCTTCCGCAGCAAACTTTATCAGACATACTAATAATTTAAAATGCCTCCTATTATAATACGTTTTTTGACAAATTACCTACTTGAATATGTGCAGCATCGCCTGTCAATGCTTGTTTAAATGCAACATCGCTTGTCACTTTTTTGCCAGCTTTCTTCCAGGCATCGAGTCCACCATCAAGAACAGAGACTTTGTTGTGACCGTACACCTGCAGAAAAACCATATGTTAAGTTGAGTTTCGGACAAACATGAGAAGACTTCCAATCTTGCCTTGAATGTCCACCATACCCGTGCAGCCCAAATCATTCCACCATAAGCACCCCTTGAATAAATCACAATGTGATCTCCGGAGTTTATACCCAGTAACCGCACATATTTCTCAAATTCCTTAGGTGGGTAGAGATCGAAGCGAACATACCTAAGTTTTTCAGAAGATGAAACAAAGATGAGTGTATATGAGGACTAAGGCAGTTGCTTACTGGCTAGGGTAATAGGCTACATCACAATTGAAAAGCATGGCTCCTGGAATGTGCTCCTTTGCATATGTTTCGCTAAAGCTCGTCTAAATCAAAAATTATGATTTTGAATTGCAGTGATATTGTCTGGTCCATTATTATTATCCCAGCGTCGACCAGACGGACCTTTTCCCTCAAAACTTGCAAAGAGTTTTATTCTTGAAGCTACTTACGCCCGATTATATTTTGAAGGAATGGTCAAAATTTGGTCCGGCTAATCGTAAAAGGTTTACATCATGAGCGTTCTGTCTCCTCCATCGGCGAACTTAGTCCGCGTAGTTCAGAAGGAGCTTCATTGAGTCTCCGAAAAGGTTAATACGCTCAAAGTTTGTATTTTTGAAAGCAAAGCGTAAATAAAAGGCAGTTGCTGATTTATTATCACATTTTCGCTACTTATAGCTCAGTAAAAGGTGCTGCTTATGATTATACAAAACATTCAACATTTATCAAAGAGCTCATTGTGTTTCAAAGTCTTGCTGCGAGCTGATCAGGTTCACTGGAAATCTGAGATTTTGAGGAATGACTTTGGAGGTATTTTCAGCTGTTTGGGTAGGAAATGCTTCTCTTTTTTAGCACTGGGTTCAGCCTGTAGAGACTTTTCTTAAACTTTGTTACTGTGACTTTACGAAAAACTTTGAGGAAAGAGTAAGAATAGGGCTTGGCGCAAGACTGATTTTTGGATTTGACACCATTCCTAGTCTGCGTATACCGTTTTCGCTATGTTTTTTCATGTAGCACCAACGATCTCTTGAGTTCCTTTTAAGCAACCCCTAAACAAAGGGTTTGTACAATTATGAACTGCACATTATTCGGCGATTTCTCCCGTGCCACCTCCTTGACGCTATTTGCAACGATATTTTTTATTTATTTATTTTATTGTTACATAGGTCCCCTATGTGTAAAAACCGAACAACAAGAACAAAAACGTAACGCAAAAAAAAAACAACGCATAACAACAATATGAAGAAAAAACCAGCCTGAGGTATGAAAGATCAAAAGTAGCTTTTTGATTGTAAGTAGCTCTTAATGTTTGTTTTGAAGGTAGATAACTTAACCGTCAACATTCCGTTCCTTACCATGTAATCAAGATCAGATAAAACTCGGCAAGTAAAAAAATTTGCTCTGACTTTGGACTTTGCCCTTGGTATCACTAGTTTCATACGCCCATCCCGCATATTAGACATTCTAATAGGAAAACAATCATTAACATTCAGTCTACATTCTCCAAACATGGTCTTATGCGCCATGATCAAATCAAAAGTACACCTTCTGTAGGATAATCTCGGAAGTTTGAGATTCAGATTACGCGTCCTTCTATCAGGAATTTGGTCATATACCAACCCAGTAGTTTGCTAAGTAGTTTTCGCGTGAGACTATTTTGAACCTTCTCAAGGTAATCAACTGTTTTGCGCAAGTGAGAGCTGTAGATGACAGTACAATATTCAAGCATAGGCCTTATGAAAGTTTTATAAGCCTTCAGAAACACTTCAACTCTGTTGCAGGAGAGCGCCCTGAACAAGTTATAAACAGCTCTCATAGCCTTATCAGCAATGAGCTTACAATATTTATTGACTCAACTATTTCAAGATCTTTACCTTTCATGGAATAATGAAAGTTAACCTTATTTGGGCCTATATGAAGCACCTTGGTTTTCTCTAAAGAGACGGGCAATTCCCATTGCAGCGACCAGTTATAAACGTCATTCAACGCATTCTGCAGCAGTCTGTATCCACTATTATCCACAACAACTCCGTACAGTTTAAAGTCATCGGCAAAAGTAGTGCAACACACCCCATAAGAAAATAGTATAAGGGGAAGATCATACGTATAAATATTAAACAATATTGGTGAGAGGACACCTTGCTGCGGTTCTCCACTATCCATTTTCCTAGGTCTGGAGAATGAGTTGTTTATTCGTACAAAAAGGTTCTGTCAGTCAGAAAGGCTCTTATCCAAGCAACAATCCGCAGATATACTCACAGCTTCAAGCTTTTGTACGAGTTTACTATGGGAAACTTTGTCGAATGCCTTAGCAAAATCTAAGCAAATAACATCCGTGCTCAGTCCGCTTTTTAAGTGCAGCATCCAATCATTAAGAGAATGGATCATAGCAGGTAGCGGTAGATCTTCCTTTTTGGAAACCATGCTGCGTAGGGTCAACAACATTGTTGTCCTCCAAATGCTTCACTATTCTTTTCTTTAGAATTTTCTCAAACAAACGCGCGAATATTGAAGTAATACTAATCGGTCTGAAGTTTTTTGGACAAGTATGGGGCTTTCTTTTAGGAATTGGCGAAACAAAAGACGTTCTCCACCTTCTCCATTTTTTCTACCTTTCTTCACTTTTCCGAATTAATTGTATTTATCATAGCAAAGTACAATGGCAAAGACTGCTAAATGACTTGTTTCAATTTTACTGGAAAAAAGTAATCATCTTTGCTGATATTATGTAAGCCCCGCACTACTTTGCCATCCTAATTCAATGGGATTTGAAATGCAAGTTCTAAGGAAATAGAGAGGAAGAGGAGATACGAAAGATGGGCTTGTTGGAGAAGATGCTACAGGTAGAGTAGTTACACATCAAACCTTGATCTTCATCAGCGTCTCGAACTGCCCGTAATAGGTTTCTTTAAACTCTATATAGTCGGGTTTTCCTTTCAGATCATAGGTTGCGTCCAGTATCACTACGTGCTCCTGAATGTGGCACACTGAACTAAAGATGCTCTTTTAGGATTTTCTCAAGGACAGAAGTTGAGATAAAACTCTCATAACTTCTACAATGGAAAATCAACTGGGTGGAGTGTTAATGTAAATACGCGAAACAATGAAATTGAACAACTTACTTTGTTTCTATCCAACCATTCAACGCATACAACATCATCAACCATACTGCAATTATAGACAATCACTCAAGCAGTTTCGCAATTGCAGAAGAAGAAAATGAATTAGAAGCCACTCGACAATGCTTTCCACATATCATTGACAAGTCAGTACTTGTGCTCAACACCAACTTGGATTACTAATCACATCAAAACATGGAAAGTACAAATTCATATTTTTTGAACAAGGTGAGCATAGCGTTTCGGATTTTCAGAATAAAGGATATTTGATTTCCTTTCATATTCGCAATGCATCTCAATGCTATAAACAGCATCGTGGTTCATTATGCCTTATTTGTCTTTGAAAAAAATCTGTGAACAATTCTGTCGAGAAGGCAAATAACGCAAAAACTTTACTGTAAGTTTCAGTTTCTAATGCAGTTTCTTGCATTAATCTAATGCAAAGCAAACTGAGCTCTCTTCGGAGTCTCAAGTCAAATTTGTTGGTGGCAATATCAGCGAAAAGGTGAAGCTTGTACATTTTCCGTATCAACAGCGACAACCTAATGAATGCACCGTCAAAGAAGACTAGTATTTATTCTGAAAATAAAGAACAAACTGAAGCTCCATTAATTGCGAAACTATCTAGAGGTTGACGATTGAAGGTGCTATCGCAACCAAATTCGATTGTGACATACACACTCGAGCGAGATGGGTTACACCAACGATCGACAAGATGTGGCTTAGAAGGTTTTTGACAGAGACCAATTCACGGAATTTAGGAACCTTGTTTAGATGTTTTGTAGAAGAACAGCTCTTTACCCGGGTTGCAGCGCTTGATATACTGAGATGCTCACCACTCCGTTTCATCTTCGCTATCGTCCACTTCTCCGGTTGTAGTGTGCACTCTTTGCGGACGAAGATCTGGCCATGTTAAAGTTGATGTATCGTTGTTTCTCCAACTGGAAATATTGGAACCAAAATTTCTCGATTTTGGAAGTAGCAGGAATTATACTTATTGTTATCCATGAGCGTTTGATATTTTCTTTATCATCATGTTCATCAACCTTCCATACCCTCAGCTCCTAGCTAAATTGCACAAAATGCCGTAAAATTCTTACATTTACTCCAATCCTAACCAGGTCAAAATATGCATGGCGGGAGTCCGTGTCGCGAGGGTATTGCGTCACGTTTACGGCTAGCTAATCTACTCTCTCCTCAATCTCTTCGCTGTCTCGACAGCGCGTATGCAGCGCAAACCTCTAGCGCTGCGGGAGCGCATAATTCAGCCGACGGTTCGCCTGATCCCGACTAGGGTAGACTGTAGTCGCCTACATCGCCTACATGTTCATGCGATTTGCCAGATACTTCCAAATTTAACATTGGCAGACTGTGCGGTATACAAACTTTCGACAAAATGAATTGCCCTTCTCTTTTTTCCAAATGCGCTTACAATGAAGCAGCTGGAGTATTGCTAAATTGCATGACGACTGAAATCCCCTGAGGTATGATCGGGTCTACCAATCCCAACCTTCGCCAAAAAAAAGTTCAGAGAAATTGTAGAAAAAGCAAAACACAAAAAACACCGAATTTCATAGTAAGCAGGGCAACATCGAAGACAAAGATTGGATGGCTTGTTTACTCGCATAAGTTTCACATCTTCACACCGAGCCAATTTCTACGAATAATTTTGGAAGGCTCGCTTGAACGAGATTGTGATAGAACTTCAAAAGGTGCCATTCTTATTCGTTCGCAAACTAATTTTCTGGGAGCACGTGCACGCATTTACAGGGGCTTCAATCTGAGTGTTACGGCCGACCGCAAGCCGCCTGATTGGGTCTACCGCGTTCACCCTCAGCGAATGTGGTATTTTCCCACGCGAGGTGCGGGAAATGCCGTATTCCTAGAATTGACGGTTAAAGCTTGGAAAAATGCCCAGACACGTTTACGAAAGCGTCGGATGGCTCAAGAGAAGGGCTCGCGAGCACCCGAGCTGCGCCGACCGTCACACTCAGATTGAATTGCATGAACGGATATGTACATATGTCGAATTGCTGACCGTATCAACTGGCCGTCACTGTTGAGCGTATTGCGCTGCTGTGCCTGTATTAATAAAAGTTGCCGTTGTGCAAGCTCTGTTCTCGTAACGTTTGAGAGATGCGCCGCAGGCTCTGCAATGTCGGCCATTCCGTACCTTTAGAGTGTTAGAACACTCTCAGCACAGTCATGCCTCAGGCTCCCGCCAGAGTGCTGAAGTTATGCCAGCGTTACGCCAGCATTTCGATCGATACACGTGTATTTCGTTGGGGACGTCAGCTAGCCCCGCCCCAACGAAATACACGTGTATCGATCGAAATGTCGGCGTAGCGCTGGCATAACTTCGGCACTCTGGCGGGAGCCTCAGAATGTGCACCCACTCATTATTCACAATTATAAGGCTTAGCACAGTGTGGGCGCACCAATTCTCCGCTCCCGCTTGGCCGCCTCATCTGGACCCTGCGCCTTTTTCACGAACTTGCTTTCTGATCACTTCACCGCGAGGGTAAAAAATGTGAATCCTCAATCGATTGCAAATGGGAGCATGTTCGTGGAAGAAGTGCACAGCGGAGATGCGCCGACACTGCAGTTGATAAGCCTTGTACACGTACTTTTGTAAATTGCTGTCACAGCAACCGGAAGATTTGCGGCAAAAAATACAAGATCATTTTCTAATAATAGACCTTCTTTCAGAAAGCTTTTCGTTTGTTTGGCAGCAATTAGCAAGACTAAAGTATATCACAGCAAACAGTTTTAGAGAAGTGTCATAAGAATTTATTTGCGTTTGGTCTGAGAGAAAGAGGTGAGTAGAGGATTGGATTCCCCATAGGAAATTGTTGATGAGCCTCTCTCAGTGAACAAACCACAGTACTATCTCATTCGGCATCATACAGGGTGTTCCAAAAAAAAATATACACTGTTGATTGTTGAGAGCTCTCTTGCTTCGCGTCTTTCGCCTATCCGGACAACCATTGCAAGCACCCGCGGCCCTAAGGCCTAAGGCATACCTTATGCGATTTCAGTCGCTGCGCGATTTGGCACTGCAACGGTTCTTCATAAGTGGTCGTAAGCGATCATGCCTCTGCAACGACTCGCGGAAGCTACGTGCCTATGCAGTTAAGACCAGCACACGGTGAATTTTAGGCATCTGGCAAATCGCCAAGTCGTGTTGATTTAGCGATTTCAAGGATCGCCGGAAGTGTGCCTTAGGCCTAACACTGGTGCGGAGATCTTATAATATTAGAGCCGACTATCCACGACCCTATACTTGCTTGGTGACCTGCTCAATGTTTTGGTGAGGGAAAGAACCGCGGGCTCTACATTTTATCGGAACGACTCTGGCCCAAGAAAAAACCCTAGAACTTTAGGCCTTGCTAGAAGCGCAGCATGTTCAGTTCAGGTCAGCCTCAGGCATTAAACAGAGTTTTTCACCCGGAAAGGCTCAATTCTTATCGGACACCGCTCATATCTTAATTCGACAAAGCCGTGGATTTCAATGAGAGCCATGCACGTCATTGTTGGGAGCCTCGGAGCATCTAGGCTCGGGCCGGCATATCACTCTGACGAAGCCGCCTTGCTGGAAGCCGTAAATTTTAAACGTTGTAAGCGGAGAGTTTACTGTGCGCCGCCGTGATAGAGCATCATCTCTCGGTCTCTAACTAGTAGTTCACTAACCTTCGACAGTGTTCTGATAATTACTATCAGATTGCTTGATCTTGGAAACGGATGGGTTGCTAAGGCTTGTATAGAGTATGGAAACATGCTTGCAAAAATTGAAATGAAGTATATAGTACTGCTGGTGCTGCCGTCTAGTGCTAGAGGACGGCTTCTGGCTGATACAACAGCTCAAGTCCGATCAAAAATCCTGCAGTCAACGCGAAACAGACCCGCTATAGCTGACGATGCTGCGCTTCTTGGTGCTGCATGCAGCTCGTTGCTACTCCTGGCTGCTACGCGATATGAAGCTCACTTTTGATGAGCTTCTCTCAGCTGCCTATGCTGCTAGAACTGATTTTGCTAGGAATTTTTGTGTGTTGACCGGTCAGCACCAAACTTTGCACACATATGTTTCCGACACCGGTCCACCTCGCAGGCTACATTTCGCGGCGAAATTTCCACTTCTTCTAGATTGATCGATTTTGAAAAAAGATCTTTCATCATGTACAATCAAACCTCTTCCAACTTTGGTGTAAACAATATCGGTAAAAGTATTTTCATCGCACCATGCTGGAAATGCGGTAATTCACGGTAGTGCTGTCAGCAGGTATCGGCCGGCGTTACACGAACAGAAGGAAGCCAAGCAGATAGGTTGAGCTTTTAGAATACGCAACAAGTTCTTTGTTAGGGCATTTGAGCCCGCGGGGCAGGCGAAGTTGGGCATTCCAGCTGGTAATCGATATAATTGGAGCAACGATAAAAATCTAGAGGATTTCAACATTAGTGGATGTTATCAGTACACTCCAATACACTAACGGCAGTTATGACCTAGATTTCAACTGTTGCCTCAAGCACACGTCAAGGTTCTACTGAGACACAAAACTTTCTGACGAGGACAGGATGACCTTTGTGGACCTCATACAGTTACGTTCTATATTTTTCGTAGTTCTTAAGACTGACTTTCCTAGTGGCTTAAACTAAGCATATCAATGGGTAAAGTTACTTTGTTCTTGCATCCGAAGAGTGTACCAGCGCAGCAGTCACGAGCACCTAAAGACAGCCCAGATATAAGCGATTCGCCAGCATCCGCTGTACCTCTATCGTCTACCGCTATCCTTCATATATCTCAAGCCCAAGATGGCCAACGACACTTACAGAAACCAATTTTTAGTGTAATGGTAGGTAACCAAAACCATACCTTTGATACATAGAGCTGCGCACTATGGTAGTTTTCAGAGCTGGAATAAGGTATGAATAATCGAGAGAGGAACAATGATATGTTTGAGGCAAAGCAACCGGATCAAGCTAGCCACAACACTTCATGTGGTTGTAAATGAAGAGGATAGATTGAGGAAATGGAGAGGGATATTAGATTTTATTGTGCTTTTTGAAACGTTTTGCCA